TATCACACAAGACCTATTTTGAGAATAAGAGGGATGATGAAAGTGAACATGACAATGCAGTTAGATGAATAATAGATTGATATATCATTCATCTGGAGAGTGCAGATCTATGTTTTATCTTTATCTACAGTAAAAAATTCTTTCATTGAAAAAATATTAGAAAAATCATTTGGATTTTTATTTGAAATTAAAAACCAAATCAATTTTCAATTTTAGCCCAACTATCGAATTTATCAGTGAGATTTTGTCATAAAAAAAATCTTTTTCGGTTTTTTCTGCTACCGAGTGATGGTTTTGTTATCATTGAATCATTATAAGTTTATGTTTATAAACGTAGATAAGGCGATATTAATTTCTTCTACCAACCACTATTCAAAAGGATGGCCATGGCGAACAACAAAACACAATGTTTTAAATGCAATAAAGAAAAAATAACTTATCCTTGTGAAGGATGTTCACAAAGATTTTGTTTTACGGATTTAACAGAACATAAACAAATACTAAATGAAGAACTAAATCACATTATTAATAATTATGATGAATTTAAACAAATAATTAATGAGCAAAAACAAAATCCACAAAATCATTTATTAATAAAACAAATTAATCAATGGGAAAGAAGTTCAATTGGAAAGATTCAACAAAAAGCACAGGAATGTAGAAAACTTGTCATTGAATCTTCACAAGTATTTATTAATGAGATTGAAATCAAATTTAATTATTTGTCTGAACAAATAAAACAAATTCACAAAGAAAACGAGTTTAATGAAATTAATCTAAGTTATTTAACAAATCAATTAAAAACAATTACAGAAGAATCGAATAATCCAACAAAGATTTCTATTGAACAAAACTCACAATCATTTATTAATGAAATTTCAATTATTTCATCAATAAGTAAGTTTTTAGAAATAATTTCAAAAGAATAATTCTTATTTTCTATAAATTTATGTTAACAAATTAAAAAAAACAAAGAAAAGTGATGAAGAAAAAGATAAAAACAATTAAGAACATTACTGGTTTATTTATGAACTAGATCAATAATATTAAATAACGTAAGAAGTTTTCTTCAAAGATTCAAAAAATGTTTGATTGATAAAAACAAAACTGACTTATGTTCAAACTTTTATTTAACAAAAAATAAATCAGCAAAATCTTATGTTTTCATCCTTTTCTAGAACAAAAGAGGGGCGAATGGAAACAAAATGCCATCACTGTGGCTGCTGGAAATGAACAAGGAGAAGGATTAAATCAACTCAAGTTCCCTTTTGGAATCTTCATTGATAAAAAGACAAATATATTCATTGCTGATTGTTGGAATCATCGCATTGTTGAATGGAAACATAATGCAAAGAAAGGACATATCATTGCAGGTGGAAATGGTAAAGGAAATCGAATGGATCAATTGAATGAGCCAACAGATGTGATTGTTGATCAGCAAGATCATTCGATCATCATTGCTGATCGTGGGAATAGACGAGTGATTCGATGGGCGCATCGAAATCAACAAATTCTCATTCACAATATTGACTGTTCCCGCTTAACAATGGATAAACATGGGTTTCTTTATGTTTCCAATACTGCGAAGAATGCAGTGAGACGATGGAAAATGGGAGAATATAATAATGAAGGAATTGTGGTAGCAGGTGGAAATGGAAAAGGAGATAAACTCAATCAACTGAATTCTCCTAATTTTATTTTTGTGGATGAAAATCAATCTGTTTATGTATCAGATAACGAGAATCATCGTGTAATGAAATGGAGAAAAGATGCAAAAGAAGGAACAATTGTAGCTGGAGGAAATGGTCAAGGAAGAAATCTCAACCAATTGTCTTCACCTCAAGGAGTAATTGTTAATGATTTGGGTCAAATCTATGTGGCAGATTGTTACAATCATCGAATAATGCGTTGGTATGAAGGAAACGAAGAAGGTGAAATTGTTGTAGGTGGAAAAGATGCAGGAAATAAATCAAATCAATTTAATCATCCTAGTGGTTTATCTTTTGATGATGAGGGAAATCTTTATGTTGCTGATTTTTTTAATCATCGAATTGAAAAATTTGAAATAATTTTGAGAATGGAATTTTGATTTCGAAAAAAAGAAAAGAGTTTTTTTTTAAATGAAAAATGGAATAAGTTCTGAAGAAAAACAAATTTTTTGATTAGAAAATCGAATAAATAAATGTGAAATTCTTCATCTTTTGTTGAAGGTGTGGGTGGGCGCGGATTCAGATGGGACTCTTTAAAAATATTTTAACAATTTGAATATATAGAAATTTTATGTTTTAAAAATGAATCACTTTTAGCAGCTCATGTACAATTGTTATCGAAGAAATAGTTCAATGTAAAAAATGTTATGTTTGTTGAATGTTTCGTCTTGCGTTTAATGTTATTGCAATTTGTTGTTGTATTGATTCTACTCTATTAGTAAGACAACATAATTTTTTTATCTTTGTTACAATTTCAGGGAGACTAATTAAGCAGATAAATGGCATTATAAAATTGAAAATAATAATTAATACATTAGGTATCAATGAGCTAACCATTTAGTCAATTCTCCATATGGATAACTTGAAACCAAAGATCTTGCTTGTGTATAATCAAGTTATCGTTGACATGAATAGAAAAAAATAAGTACCAAATACCAAATATAGATAATAAAATAGGTGGTAAAAAAATGAGCATATAATGTTTGAGATAAGAATTCATAAAATGTCTGTGAACTATGAAAATATATCGTTGAATTGAAGCTATTACCATTATCCATGCACTTGATGGAAAAAGAAGATAACTCATATAAATCAAAAAAAACCAAAGAGAATAAGATGATGGAATAAGTTCACCAAAATAAAGATATACATGAGTAATAGGTAATTCCAATGTTATTATAAGAAAATTACAGATTAATAAACATATTATACTAAGGCGACAATTCTTTTTTTTTATTATTTAGAAAATAAGAAAAATACTTACACATGATGATGTCGTTTTGCTTGTAATTCGCGTAAACGAATGAAATAATAGAATATAATTAAGCTGCAAATGATCGAAGGAATTTGACAACTAATCAAAATATTAAATGTAATTAATCGACTGAACGAATTTTCCAATGACTGATAAGCATTATCTTCATAATCGAAAGTTTTATGTCTATCAATTAACATTTTTAATAATCACTTTCGCAACGATTAAAAGAATACTGATTTTACTTATTTTGAACTTCAAAAGCAGGAGATATATTTTTAACAATACTTTATATACGTCTAAAATTATAAATATGCATGATGAAATATATTACTTACAGATAGTTGCTTTCAAAGTATATGAAAAAGAAAAGAAATTCTATTCCAATTACTTTCTATTTATTAGAATGTTTGCAGGAAATAGATATTCTTGTTTTTCATGAAATTAAATAGTTTGAATTTGATTTAGAAGCTGAAAGTCAACAAGTAGACAAATAGAATAACTAAATATTTTATTGAGTTTGTAAGGAGAATATTATCGTATTCCATCGATTTTGATAAAATTCTATTTGAATCATTGATGTCATGTTGAGCTCATATCTTAAACTTCCTTTGTAAAAATTTATCATGAATAACATAGAATTTCTGATTATAATTATCATGTTTAGAGAATAGTAAGAAATAGAATGACATTATAGGTACAAATTTGTACCTAGAATTATATTCTATTGACGGGTGTGAGTGTGGGTGTCGACTGAAAATAATACCCACACCCACACCCTCAAGATTTTTATATAGCATGTCGTTCATCATCATCGACAAATACTTTTAAGGGTGTCGGTGTGAGTGTGTATTCTCTTAACCGTTACCCACAATCACACTCACCCACACTCCATTTTAAATATCTTAATTGATAAACTAATAAGGATCCTATATAGAACAGGACGAGCTCATCTGGGATGAATGTAATATCAACTCTTTGGACAAATGAAAAGTGTTTTGAAGATGAAGAACAAGAGTCTTTATTTTACTTTAAGTTTCTGTTATATATACTTTGTCTGAAAAAAAGCAAATAAAGAAAGTTTATATATTAATAATCATCATGTATAATTTGCATTAAATAAACAGCTGATAAACCATGGATAATCAGTCATTGATTTTCTATCGTATAAGACGAAATAAGAATGCAAAAAAATCTCTAGTTTATAAGTTGTTCTTTTCGAACAATCAAGTTAGAATAAGAGATGCAAAACATCATTGAGAATCTATGATGATTTCAAGGTTTGATGATAGATTGCAACGTTCGAAATAATACAACAATATTTTTCGTAATTGTCATTACAATCATCGTTCAAAAGTTCGAAAAGTTTTCGCAAATAAATCGCGATATTAAGGCAACTGTTTATGAATGAGTCTGTCGTCGTCGTCGCCAAAATGTAATAGATTCTCTAAAACGTTTTCGATATAATGCTGAGGGGAGGACAAATACCACGAAAACCAGAATAGATGGGATGAATGAAATAAAATAAGCAATGAGGTATAACCATTGATAGCGAGATGTATCTATACATCCAGACAATAATGAAATGATCAGACGTGGTGATGCCAAAATGAGTAAAGCTATAGGGCTGATTATTAACTGCTTGTGCTCACTTAACTGTTCACGAATATGTTCTTTGTAATTTTGTTTATCTTGAGTCGCTGATCGTTGTCGTGCAATTCCAAAAATGATACACAACATAGACAAAAGATTCAGAATAAATGGACCAAGTAGATGAAAAAATAAGATGGCTGTATTATAATTCTGAATCGAAGGGGAGTAACGGGTCAAACACTGAACGCGTCTTTCTGTCTCGCCTTGTGCTGATTCGTCTTTTACTATCTTATAGTCGATCAATTGTCGATAGATCGGTTCATGGACGATTGTCGCCATGGTGCAAAATGGTAGGATTACAATTATCCACCGTGCAGTGAGTTTGCTCTTCTTTCTGTCAAATTTGATTCCTTTGAATACTTGAACAGCTCGTTCCACAGCGACACAAGCATTGAGCCACCCATCCAAATATAGAAACAATTTAAGAAGTGGTTCAATAGAAACACAACCTCCTCGATGAATAGACAAACTAATAGATGTTTCATTGATCTGAGTGAGAACAAAAAACCAAAATTTGACTATGAACATACATAACGTGAGAAATGAAGTAATCGACGATGCCAGAAGATACATTCCACAACCAACTTGTCGTAAATCTTTATTTTTAAAAGTAACGAAAGAGAAAATACTGTTGATCAAACCCGCAACGAACATAATCATTGTCAAACTGGTGCTCATTTTCACGGA